GGTATATCTCATTACGTGCAACGACTTTCTTATCTTCCCTTCTTGGATGGATCCAACAAGCTCTCTCCTTCAAGCTCTCCTTCGTCTCTCATTTCTGGTTCCTCGTCTCCTTGTGCAAGACCATATAGATAGTGGATCAGACTTGTATACGAGTGTCATGGGGAGACGTCGTGTAAGAATACTTGTGTTTCCACTCTTCGTTGGAACTGAGTTTTTACCGGGCTGAACGCACAAGAGCTTCTATGACGCTATATTTTGGGCTGATGTGCCACGCTTCCGCTGTGATCTGAAAACATAGCCTGATTCTTACTCGTACGTTGGATCTATCCTCGATATAGTTTCCTCCATTCTGACGTTGTGCTGGTAGTACGTGGTCCCGCGAACAAATGGAAAAGACTAATGCTGCCGATGGGAATAATTTTTATGCATCGCTGCATCGACAACTCTGAATATAACCAGTAGTTTGCAGTCTCAGCCGATGTTGCTTTCGCACCTGACGCTGCTTTCTTTGTCTACGTCGCTTCCCCTGTCGAGCACTGGTTCCACCACCGCGAGAGTTACTTCAGCTTCCACCTTTACACGGAGAGAAAGTTCGCCAAAATCTCCCAGTGCGAGGAGTCCAGTCGGTGCATCCGACGAACACTTGGGGGTGTTGCCTGTAAGCGTTCGTGACTCTCGAGCCTGGATATAACGAATTAGTTGATGAGGAGGAAACGAAATTGTGAGTGTACCTACGCTCCACCTGTTCTGGTCCTCAAAGTAATCGGTCTAGAAAAGTTACCTAGATATGCTGTTCCGGCGATGATTGTTCTGCATGATTGTGGATTGGTGAGTGCTGTATTGGTTAACTGAAGATGAGATTTGAATCGAAGACTTAGGGCACAGATCACACGTCTTCTGGGAAGATTACCAAAGCGCCGTTAAGGGTCATAGCTTAGAGGGAGTGGGAAAGGGGGACGGAGGAAAGAACACTCTAGGGTAGATACGGCACTACTCAAGTCGGTGCCGTGTCGTTTGATGCTTGCAAATAAATTATATTCAAAATATCGACATTTTCCAAGTGTTTAATTCCGTATCTTTGTACCCCCCTTAAATATAATTTCTTCCTGACATGATATGCTCTTGTCTCTTCTCGCCTCCCTGCGAGGAGCCTCTACTCTGCGAGACGCACTCAACAGTGTGATTAGAATAGAATGAGCCCTGAAGGTGTCGCTAAATTGCCTACACAGCCACATCACTCGTCTTTCCTTAACCACCACCATGTCAGTCGCGCTCTCCACCTAGTCTTTGTGATGCGCGAGTCTCAGTGCCCCTACACCATATTCTTCCTGTGAGCGGTTGCTATGCAAGGTCGAATAATAGAGAAACGTCAAATTAATGAAGATGGAGCAGAAATTGGGTTCAGGTCGGTGAGTATGCTAGCTACCAGGAACGTGAGAGATAGTTGATTAGAAATAGGCACTGTGACTACGTGTATCTTTGTCTGAACTGTCACTCCACATCTCTGGCCATGAGTTTGAACGTGTTTCCTGAGCTCAACGCCGAGGCTGGAATCTGATTGCGGGAGACAAAGGTTCGTTAGATAGAACGTTCGAATGCTAATTCTGGTATTGCTAGACTATTGAAATACACCGCCACATCCTGTCTACAAATATGAGATGTGATCCTTGTCACAGCCTACAGGCCCTGGCCTAACCTCGAGTCAGGCCCAAGCCCTGTTGGGTTTCAAGGTGGGCTCGGGGGTCTGAATTTGAAAGCCAGGCCCAAGCCCGTCCCTGTAAATCAATGAATTATTGGCAGCTCCGAGTCTATGAAAGCGATAAGTATCAGAAGCCCCCGATGAGGACGTTCATTAGTGCGAGCGTGTACAATGTTTTCGACCTTGTGTCGGTTGTCTGGATGCACTGAGGACCATTCAATGGAGGGCGCGATAGCGTTGGACTCGGTGTCTTTCCGGACGGCTCTTCTCAACCACAGAGTATATATACTTCACTTCATGGTTCACAGATAGTAACTTTTATCAATCATGGCGGATGCTAAAATACAAACCCCGCGCTGCTCTATCAAGGAAGGTGAGCTTACGAACAAAAAAAATGCCAGGAAATTCGCACGCTAATTTGACTAACCGACAGAATACTCACAGGACCGGGAAGTTTGCTCGAAATTGAAACTCGAGTCAGTACTCTGAGCTACCCTCTACTCTGTGACAGTCTAAATGCAATGATATAGGTCATTGACGGGAGGGTCTTGAAAGTCTGGAAGAATCTCTGGCCATCCTTGCGGCACCTCTTTTTGTACTCGACCAAGAAGCACGTGGACAAAATCTATATAGTATACGAGAAAGAGCGTCACACATACCAGGACATATTAGAGAAGGCAGTCAAATGTTCCGCCATTTTGAGAGATGTTTATGGCATTAAGAAAGGTAAGGACATCTTGTTTTGTTAGTGACACCACCTACTTACTCACTTTCGGGACAGGGGATCGAGTAACCATCTGCTCCCGAAATTGTCCTACTTACTTGGTCGTGTTTTGGGCTTGTCGTCCGTTGCATCTCCTTGCGTCTCATTTAAAGTCAAAGACTCAATCTTGTGGCAGATCTTCTGGGTGCCGTCATCGCTCTTGTGAACATGTAAAAAAATTTGCTTCCACATGCTTTTACATTCTTCGTTTTCTGATCATACCAAAAGGTGGCTGCCATTGGAGCCGCTCCGACACTGTATTATGCTCACAAAGTGCACACTGATCATCCTTGACACCGAGCGAGCTGATATGGTCGAACCGATTGGTGCTGAGCTTAGGCTCGCATGTGGTGCATCAAGATATCTTGTCCTTGAGGATCACGAGGGAAAAGGCCATTGGGAAGGTATGGACGTTTGGAGTAGAGTCTTCTCCGAATACGATGGAGATCCCGGGAATGTGCTCAGTGACGATCCTCAAATCTCACCGGAAGATGATGCGGCGATTACTTTCACGTCAGGGACCACCGGCTTACCAAGTACGTAGGTTTCGTTGGATCGGTCGGTTTTACTGTTTATCAATTTCTGTGCTTTGCTTAAGAGGGTGTCTTGAGCTCGCAACGTGCACTATTGACTCCCCTATTCAATGTATGTCCCTTTTCTGTGAAGCATTTTGTTCCTCTCATGAATCGTATTAGGCGGCTTCGTTGATAGGGAGAGATTGTCTTCGACGAGGGGAGTCATTCCCTCCGACACCTAGCGCAGGTCCTCAGGAAGGTTCGCTGGTTCCGAGGATACTATCGCTGACCTCTTCAGTTTTCTCAACTGTAAGACTGGCAGCCGACATGGTAACGAGCCAATATTCACCCGTTTTCAGATGCATTGTGCTGTTCAAGGAATCAAGATTGTTTTAACACGCACATGGAATGTACATGAAGGCAAGAATCGACTTCGTTCGTGTTTACTTGAAGGTCTCATTCTTACTCAATACTTGCAGCTGCAGAGTAATTCCATCCTTTCATTTGGTACAGCGTTCTTGCCTGCTAACTGATACATCATTCTAGACTGTGTAAAACGGAGAATATCATTCGGCTCGCCGGGTGCGTATCTATGTTTTCATGCTCGCATTAGTTAACGGTGTTGCAGTTCACCTTTAACCATCAGAGAGCTCGCTGAGAGCGCGATATGCAAAACTTCAATAAAAAGGATATCATATGGAGGTACTCCCATTGCACCGTCTCACCTTCAAAGATGTAGACAAGCATTTCCTCTCGCCACCGTGTAAGTGTGTCCCAGCTGGTCCAGTGGTTGGCGCTTATTTGGGTTATCTTGTAGCTTTCAAACATATGGTCTAACCGAGACGAATACTGGCGCGGTAGGCTTCGGTGAGTCAGAAATCCTGTTGTAAACAGATTACAGCAGAGGCCTGATCTGCCCCTAGGTGGACCGGATTACGATGCGAGGCTAGATAGCTGGTGAGTCTGCTTGTTCTATTTCTCTCGTATTTAAACTGTTCCAATTGCAGTGGTTTCGTGCTTCCTGTCAGTGAGATTCTGATAATGAAAGATGGTGCTAAAGCTGCGCCGGGAGTGGTGGGAGAGATTTGGCTTCGTGGTCCGAATGTGATGAAAGGGTATTACGGTGACGAAGGTTGGTCCCAGGATCAAGTTATCTCACTGGTACACATGCTTACACGTTTGGACAATGGCTGCAGCTACTACTGATCAAGTGGGATCCCTTATTTGCAGGTGCCTGTGACGACTGAACTTTGATACAGGTCCTTACTAAAGACGGATGGCTGATGACCGGCGATCTTGGACGGATAGACGAAGGTGGTTATGTTTACATCACGGACAGGATCAAAGATATCATCATCAGGGCTAGTTATAATATTGTGAGTGCTATTGTAGTATGTTATACAACTCTCAGTGATGGGCGAATTCATAGGATTCGGTTTCCGTCGAGAATGCCCTATACACCGAACCGGGTGTATTGGAAGCGGCAGTAGTTGGCGTACCTGACGAATATGTGGGGGAATTGCCTGTAGCATTGGTGACCCTCAAGTCTGGGTATGGTGGATTAGTCGATGAGGAGAAACTCACGGCGACTGCTGAGAAACTGTAAGTGTATTTATCTTCCGGTTCTAACCTTCCTCAAAGTAATTTGCCTGGAAAGGTTACCCAAATATGCTGTTCCAGTGATGATTGTTCTGTATGGTCGTGGATTTGGTGAGTGCTGTATTGTTTAACTGAAGATGGTTCTGAATCAGAGATTGGGCACAGATCACACAGCTCTTGGGAAGATTATCAAAAAGCCGTTGAGGGTCATAGCCCAGAGGGAGTGGGAAAAGAGGTCGAGGAAAGAATAGGCTAACCTTCTGGTTATGAAATATTTAGAGCGGTGCTGTTCGTTCGGCACTTGTGAATACATTATATGCGGCTTTAAAGTATGAATGGTAAACATCGTCGTACAGTATATAGTATCTTGTAATGTAACCTAAACAATCAAAGCTTGCCAAAACTGATATGTTAGTATCAGCTCTTGACTCTCAATCAGGAGGATTAAACGTACTTGTTTCTTATCCAGATTATACAACAGGACTGGCGACACCAAGCCTCAACCGACGCCCTCGAAATCGTACTTCCTCACCAAACGGTGATCTCATCAGCAGAGCGCGCCAGACGTGGCGAGACTCTGGGGATGTCCAATCAAGCTAGGTGCATACCCAAAGGGCTATGCACATGACTGTTTAAAAGACGAGCGGTAGAAAATTGAATTGTTACAGTGAGGTAGGTGAAAGGAAAACTTTAGGATAGCGAAAGTAGCAATGTAACAAGTCTTGAAAGGTGGGGATACAGGAGCAGAGTAAAACACTGCTTCAGGTGAACACTTTGTCGGGCGTTCCCGTTTCATCTTTTCTCCATTTCCCTTCCTAAGCGAGATGAGAGAAAAGGAACTGCAGGAGATGAATTCACGTACCTTCCTAGACTGAGTTCTGGTAAGTATCGGTCGAGATTTGCATCGCTCTGCGTCTTGGTCTACCAGAGCTTTGGTCTTGGCAAGTTCAGCTGTATCGCATCAATACTGGTCAAATAGATGCCGTTTAGGATATCAAAATGGATATACGTGGTGACAGTTGGATGCTGGACTCTTTCCAGACGGAGTCTATCAATCCTTCGACCGCTGCCTGGTGTCGTCGAGCGATGCGGACTCGACTTTCAAGGGTGATGGTGCTATCACATAATCCACTAGCTGCGGCAGCTTGTGCTGTAGAAGCCGGAATGAAGTCGCTCATAGGTCTTGTCTGGTGGTATACTGGGATGCAGTTGGTATATTCTGGAAGTTCCGTGGACGCTGAGGAAAGCAGAGGCACAGTCGAGACCAGTAGTAGTTTGAGAGCAAGAAAGACCTAGCAAGAGACAGCGTCTCATTGAAGAGCTGTGGAGCAGAATAATGTGCCCATTTTGGTTTCGGTATACTTGAATTTTTCAACAGTCTTGGTGACGCGTTGGAAGTGGTACTGGTACTCAATTTTCCGAGGTCGCCATCTGCTACGTGAACGAGGCATTGCTTGGGAATTGTGTACAGAACCGGGCTCTAAGAGAAAGGTAGAGGGTAGAATTTCACCTTCTGGTAGTTGTTGTCGCTGCCAGGGCCGGTGTCGGGATCGTGCAAGTCGTCGGCGTCGGCGTCGTTTGTGATTCGGACATCATCTGAGTCGTATTGCCAAACCGCGTGCCCTGTGTATTATGATTCTTTGTATTATCCGGAATTACACCCTTCAGTATTCACATGTGTGAAGAATGTCTCACATTGGTTGTGGGAATGTTTCCATCAATGTGCAGGCTGGGAGGCCCCGGGAAAGTATGTGCTCTCCAAGCTTGGGACTGCCGTTGAGGGTGACATTGAAATGACAGGCTGCTGGACGCCGACTACAGCCGTGCCGGCCGGCTGCTCATGCTGGGAGCGGCAATCGGCATCGGACATTGTCGGCAGTCGGCTTTTATACCCATCACCTTCATGAGCACTGAGTAGCCCTCCTTGGCAGCGAGCTGCACCACCTTTGACGGCGACGACATTGGTCGACTTTGCGTGCGTGGACCTTGCTTAGATTCGACTGCATTGCTATGATATCAGTTTATGCCGCCGGCATATCCAGCGTCTCTTGCAAACCAACTGAAGCCAGTACCTGAGGACGTCGAGGGAAGCGTACACGCCGACGCCGACGCCGGTCATCGTTGGACACGACTTTCACCGCAAATCGTTACATTCCGAGGCATCAGAATCTCACCCACCTGTTTCTGCTGTTGTGCCACGTTCCGCTCCTGCTGCCGTCAAACGCTCGCACCCATCATCTTCACGCGTATCGTGGCTCCTTGTTCGATGCCTCAAATACTGAGAGTACAAGGCCATTGATGACATCCAGCGGGTGACGGAGAGGCGGAAGCGCCAGTAATGGCAGCTCGAATACGACGCAGAGGCATATTAGCTCACAGGCTATACCCTTGTAAAGATGCTGGAAGTGGGCAGTATTTTCTTCGACGACAACGATCCTCAGACCCGATTTCCGGCTCCGTTGGGCGCTGTTTGCATCCCGGAAGAAGATAACAGAGACTTGGAAGTAGGCAAAGCAGCATTGGCCGCGCTGGTTGGTGGGATCGTTTTTTGTAGTGCTTTGGTGGTTATCTTGGCGTTGGTGGTTTTGTCGTATTGGCAATACGCGAGGAGAAGAAAGTGGTGAGCACTCTCTATTATTCCTGCATATCTTTTCTGACTTTGATACTCAGAGTGCTCAGATTCAGCCATTTTTATTGTTGTAATCTATTGTACGTGTCATCTGTCCTACCCGCAATTTTTCCTTTCCTCTAATTTTCCTTTAGCGTACATATTTAGAGGGATTTGTACTCGCTGTTGCTGTTGTGTTGTGGACACTGCTATTTGCTTTGCGTTGACTCCTTGGAACGAACCATACATGTTGACATTCCTCTGAAGGGCCAAGGACTAAACTAAACAGAGGGGACGCATCGTGATTCTTTGCCTCAATCTCTCCGGTATATAGGCGGCTGATCGTGCTGGAGAAGTTTTGGCATATCACATTACGTGCAACGACTTCCTATCTCTTGAGCGTCTTCCCTTCTTCCCTTCCCTTCCCTTGCCCTAGCTTGGATGGATACAACTATCTCTCCCCTTCCAGTTCTCTTCGATCTCTCATTCCTGGCTCCTCGTCTGCTTGCGCAAGACCGTATAGTTAGCGGATCAGACCGGTATACGAGTGTCGTGGGGGAGACGGCGTGTAAGACTACTTGTGCTTCCACTCTTTGTTAGAACTGAACTTTTTACTAGGCCGAACGCACAAGAGACTCTATGACGCTATATTCTGGGCCGATGGATGCCACGCTTCCGCTGTGATCTGAAGACATAGTCTGAATCTTCCACTGACAAGTTCTAGTATGTTGGATCTATCCTCGGTGCAGTTTCCTTCATTCTGACGTTAAACTGGTAGTATGTGGTCCCACGAACAAATGAAGAACGTCAATGCTGCTGACGGGAATAATTCGTTCACGGATTGCGCATGGACAACCGCAAATGTGACCAGTAGTTCGTAGTCTCAGTCGATATCATTTTCGCAACCGACGCTGCTTTCCCAGCCCACATCGCTTCCCCTGTCGAGCACTGATTCCACCACCGCGAGCGCCACTTCACTTCCACCTTTACACAGAGAGAAAGTTCGTCACAATCTCCCAGTGCGAGGAGTCCAGTCGGTGCACCCGACGAACGCTTGGGGAGTTGCTTGTGGCGTTGGTGACTCGAGAGCCTGGATATGACGGATTAGTCGATGAGGAGAAAACTCATGGTGACTGCAGAGCAATTGTGAGTGTACCTACGCTCCGCCCGTTCTGGCCCTCAAAGTGATCGGTCTGGAAAGGCTACCCAAATCTGCCGTTCCGGCAATGATTATTCTGCACGATCGTGGATTTGGTGAGTGCTGCATTGGGTCACTGAAGATGAATTTGAATCGAAGATTGGGGCACAGATCACACGTCTTCTGGGAAGATTATCAAAGCACCGTTAAGGATCATAGCCCAGCACCTAGTACATTTGTAGTGTGGGAATCTCAGTGCCCCTCTACAGGCAAAGTCGAATGATGGAGGAACGCGAAATTGATGAAGATGGAGCAGGAATTGGGATCAGGCCGGTGAGTATGCTAGCTACCGGGAACGTGAGAGATAGTTAATTAGAAATAGGCACTGTGACTACGTGTATCTTTGTCTGAACTGTCACTCCACATCTCTGGCCATGATTTTGAACGTGTTTCCTGAGCTCAACGCCGAGGCTGGAACCTGATTGCGGGAGACAAAGGTTCGTTAGATAGGACATTTGAATGCTAATTCTGGTATTGTTAGACGATTCCAATACACGTCAACAAATATGAGATGTGTTCCTTGTTACAGGCCCTGGCCGAACCCCGAGTCAGGCCCAAGCCTTGTAGGGTTTCAAGGTGGGCTCGGGAGGGTCGGGGGACTCGGGGGATCTGAACTCGAAAGCCAGGCCCAAGCCCGCTCTTGTAAATCACTAAATTATTGGCAGCTCCGAGTCTATGGAAGCAATAAGTTTCAGAAGCCCCCAAATATCCGATGAGGACGTTCATTAGTGCCAGCATATATAATATTTTTGACCTTTTATCGGTTGTCTTGATGCACCGAGGACCATTCAACGGAGGGTGCGATAGCGCTGGACTCGGTGTCTGACTCGCCTTCCGGACGGCTTTTCTCAACCACAGAGTATATATACTCTACTCCATGGTCCACAGACAGTACTTTTATCAACCATGGCGGATGCTAAAACACAAACCCCGTGCTGCTCTATCGAGGAAGGTGAGCTTACTGACAAAAAAATGCCAGGACATTCGCATGCTAATTTGACTAGCCGACAGAATACTCACAGGACCAGGAAGTTTGCTCGAAATTGAAACTCGAGTCAGTGCTCTGAGCTGCCATCTACTCTTTGAAGGTCTAAACGCAATATAGGTCATTAACGGGAGGGTCCTGAAAGTATGGAAGAATCTCTGGCCATCCTTGCGGCACCTCTTTTTGCACTCGACCAAAAAGCACGCCGACAAAGTCTATATAGTATACGAGAAAGAGCGCCACACCTACCAGGAGATATTAGAGAAGGCTGTCAAATGTTCCGCCATTTTGAGAGATGTTTACGGTATTAAGAAAGGTAAGGACATCCTGTTGTTTTTTTTTTTAGTAAAACCACCTACTCATTCACTTTCGGGGTAGGGGATCGAGTAACCATCTGCTCTCGAAATTGTCCGACTTACTTGATCGTGTTTTGGGCTTGCCGTGCGTTGCATCTCACGTCTGCTTCAAAACCAAGGACTCAATCCTGTAGCAGATATCCTGGGTGCCGTCACCGCTCTTGTGAACATGTAACATTTGCTTCTGCATGCTTTTTCATTCGTCGTTTTCTGATAATACCGAAAGGTGGCTGCCATTGGAGCCGCTCCGGCACTGTATAACGCTTACAAAATGCTCACTGATCATCCTCGACACCGAGCGAGCTGACATGATCGAACCGATTGGTGCTGAGCTTAGGCTCGCATGTGGTGCGTCAAGATGTCTCGTCCTCGAGGATCACGAGGGGAAAGGTCATTGGGAAGGTATGGACGTTTGGAGTAGAGTCTTCTCCGAATACGATGGAGATATTGGCTCGGTGCTTCAGGACGATCCTCAAATTTCACCTGAAGATAACGCAATGATTATCTTTACGTCGGGGACCACTGGCTTACCAAGTACGTAGTAGCTGAACCTGTTGCACAGCTCATCAGTGACGTTGTTCGTTCAAGAGGGTGTCTTGAGCACACATCGTGCATTCTTGACTACGTTATTTGATGTATGTCCTCTTTTCTGTGAACTATTTCGTCGAGCTTATGAATCGTACTAGATAGCTTTGTTGACAGGGAGAGACCGCCTTCGACGAGGCGAACCACTCCTTCAGGCACCCAGTGCAGGTCCTCAGGAAGGTTTCCTGTTTCCAGGGATGTTGTCACAGGCTTCTTTCATCCTCGCGATTGTAAGACTGGCAGCCGACATGGTAACGAACCAATATTCACCCATTTTCAGATGCACTGTGCTGTTCAAGGATTCAAGTTTGTTTTAACACGCACATTGAATGTACATGAAGGCAAGAATTGACTTCGTTCGTGTTTAAAGGTCTCATTTTTACTCAATAGTTGCAGCTGCAGAGTAATTCCATCCTTTTCATTCGGTACTGCTTTCTTACTTGCTGACTGATACTTCATTCTAGACTGTGTAAAACAGAGAATGTCATTCGGCTCGCCGGGTCCGTATCTATGTTTTCGTGTTCGCGTTAGTTAACGCTGTTGCAGTTCACCTTTAACCATTAGAGAGCTCGCTGAGAGCGCGATATGCAAAACTTCGATAAAAAGCATATCATATGGAGGTACCCCCCGTTGCACCGTCTCACCTTCAAAGATTTAGACAAGCATTTCCCCTCGCTACCGTGTAAGTGCGTCCCAGTCGGTCCAATAGCCGGCACTTATTCGGGTTATCTTGTAGCTTTCAAGTATATGGTCTAACCGAGACGAATGCCGCCGCGGTAGGCTTCGGTGAGGAAATTCTTTCGTAAACAGATTACAGCAGAGGCCTGATCTGCTCCCAGGTGGACCGGATTACGATGCGAGGCCAGATAGCTGGTTAGTCTGTTTGTTCTGTTTCTCTCGTATTTAAACTATTTCGATTGCAGTGGTTTCGTGGCTTCTGTCAATGAGATTCTGATAATGAAAGATGGTGCTAAAGCTGCGCCGGGAGTGGTGGGAGAGATTTGGCTTCGCGGTCCAAATGTGATGAAAGGGTATTACGGCGATGAAGGTTGGTCCCAAGATCGTTTATCTCATTGGTACACAGGCTTACACTTTTGGAAAACGGCTGCAGCTACTACTGATAAGGTGGGATCCCTTATTTACAGGTGTCTATGGTGACTGAACTTCTGATACAGGTCCTTACTAAAGACGGATGGCTGATGACCGGTGATCTTGGACGAATTGATGAAGATGGTTATGTTTACATCACAGACAGGATCAAGGATATCATCATCAGGGCTAGTTATAACGTTGTGAGTGCCATTGTAGTACGTTATACAACTCTCAGTGATGGGCGAATTCATAGGATTCCGTTTTCGTCGAGAATGCCCTGTACACCGAACCGGGGGTATTGGAAGCGGCAGTAGTTGGCGTACCTGACGAGTATGCGGGGGAATTGCCTGTAGCATTGGTGACCCTCAAGTCTGGGTATAGTGGATTAGTCGACGAGGAGAAACTCACGGCAACTGCCGAGAAACTGTAAGTGTATCCATCTTCCGGTTCTAGCTTTCCTCAAAGTAATCGGTCTGGAAAGGTTACCGAAATATGCTGTTCCGGTGATGATTATTCTGTATAATCATGGATTTGGTGAGTACGGTATTGCTTAACTGAAGATGGTTCTGAATCAGAGATTGGGCACAGATCACACAGCTTCTGGGAAGATTATCAAAGGTCCGTTAAAGGTCATAGCCCAGAGGGAGTGGGAAAGAGGTCGAGGAAAGAATAGGCCAACCTTCAAGATATGAAATACTTGGAGCGCTGCTGTTCATTCGGCGCTTGTGAATAAATTATATGCGGCTTTACCGAAGTATGAATTGTAAACATCCTCGTACGGTATATAGCATCGTATAAGGTAACCTGAGCGGTCAAAGCTTGCCAAAAATGATATGTTAGTATCTGCTCTTGGCTCTTAATCGGGAGGATCGAACTTACTTGTATTTCATCCAGATTATACAACAGGACTGGCGACACCAGGCCTCAACCGACGCCCTCGAAATCATACCTCCTCACCAAATGGTGATCTCATCAGCAGAGCCCGCCAGGCGTGGCAAGAATCCGGGGATGTCCAATCCAGCTAGGCGCATATCCGAAGAGCCGGTGGGTTCACCCACCACGACACCACCTGGTCGACATGGCTCAACCTTTCACAGCATCGTTGCCATGCCTCACATGAGACTATCGATCCTGGCCTGTCTTGCTAGGATACTCACCCCGCTCCTGTAGAACCAACGACATGCTCATACGGTACTAAGCATGGCGAAAGAACGTGTGGTCGCGGGTGTCCACGCTTCGCGTCCCTACGTACTTTCTGGATATGCTACTGCCTTTCGTGGTTTTGACTTTTGGTTGACCGGCTTGATCGGCCTGAGACTTGGAAGAGGGGCTATGCAAATGACTGTTTAAAAGACGAGCAATAGAAAATCGAATTGTTACAGGTGAAAGGAAACTTTAGGATAGCGAAAGTAGCAATGTAGCAAGTCTTCAAAGGCTAAGATACAGGAGCAGAGTAGAACCCTGCTTCAGGTGAACATTTTATCGGGCGTATCTGTTTCATCTTTTCTCCATTTCCTTCCCTAAGCGAGATGAGAGAAAAGTAATTGCAGGAGATGAATCCACGTACCTTCCTAGACTGAGTCCTGCACAGCATCAGTCGAGATTTGCATCGCTCTGCGTCTTGGTCTACCAGAGCTTTGGTCTTGGCAAGTTCAGCTGTACGAGGACTAATAGTCGGACAGACGTCGATTAGGATACCAAAACAGACGTACTTGGTGAGAGTTGGATGCTGGACTCTTTCCAGACGGAGTCTATCAGTCCTTGAACTGCTGCTTGGTGTCGTCTAGCGATGCGAACTTGGGTTTCAAAGGCGATGTAACTATCGCGTAATCCACCGGCTGTAGCAGCTTGGGCTGTGGAAGCCGGAATGAAGTCGCCCATGGGTCCTGCCTGGTGGTGTCCTGAGATGCAGTTGGTACCTACGGGACGTTCCGTGGACGCTGAGGAAATTGGAGACATAGTCGAGACCTCAAACAAGTAGTGGTTCGAAAACATGAGGGGGCCTAGCGAGAGACAGCATCTCATAGAGGAGCTGTGGAGCGCGAGAACATGCTCATTTTGGTTTCAGTATACCTGAGATTTTCAGCAGAGAGTTGGAGTGACGCGTTGAAAGGAGACGTACTAGTATTGGTACCCAGATTTCTGAGGTCTCTGCTATATGAAAACGGGCCATTACTTGGGAATCGTGTACAGCGCCATACCCGAAGAGAAAGAACAGAAGACTATCTCCTGGTCGTTGTTGTCGCTGCCAAGGCCGGTGCCGGAATCGTTACTGCGGTCTTGAAGGTCGTTACCTTGCTTGTCAAGGTCTCTCTAGGTCTAAAATCTTCGCTTACACAAGCCATGGTCTTCCCGTGATATGACATCATTCTCCACACGTAATCAAAATCCTTGTCGCTGACAATTTCACCCTTTCCATCACGCATCGAATGTCTTTTCACAACGGATATCAAATCGCCAACATATTAAATCCTCTAGATCTACCGGTAATGGCAAGATTGGACATAGCTACTGCCCTCAAAAACCTCAATGATATTTGTGCTTATCTTCCATCTGCATTAGAAAGACAAACTCGGCATATCATCTATATCTTTTGCGTTTTATTGCCACTTCCAACGTTGGCAGATCTACTTGAAAACCTCAAATCTTGATGATGGGGTGGATATAAACAATTTGTATGGAGATGTACCGACCATAATATTAGACACCATGTGTTGAATAGTGGGACTGAGCCATACGTGCGCTTCAACATTGCAACGGATAATGCGACTACCCCGCCGTGCCCTGCAGGTATGTCTGCGTATTTCATCCCTCACACTGTACACATATCCACTGATCACTGGCACTGAGTAGGAAATGACAACCTTAAGAGTACAAAGCCTAAGCGGAAAATTGTGGACGTTGAAAGAGGTGAGGTGAAGAAAGTTCGTGCTTAAATGTAATCAGTTCAGGTAACTAGCAGGATTCTCTTAAAGGCATGTATGTATGATTATGGCGGTGTATGATTATTTTCAAAGTGTGCCTCACATAAATTGGATTCTACAAATTTGGGATGGGGATGAACACCGCTTAAGCAAGGTATGATAGTCGTCGACCGACAACCGCTAGTCTTCAAGTCGTTTGTGATGACATCATTACCTTGCAGGTCTCTGCTGTACATAATGATGTGATGACTAAGAGGCAGCAATCATGTGATGCCCATATTTCCTTATCTTCCGATTATTACACTGGCGACCAACTACGACCAACAGGACCCAGCGGCCAACGACTTTAACCAGTATACCTGTACTACTACATATCCGAATACAATCCTGACCTCTAGGACACTTTACGCCATGAGATTCAAGGAAGTGCATGATAAACGCTTGAAAAAAAGGTGGCCCATCTCCCAATGGAATCCTTGATCTTTGCTTCACAGCGGCTTGCAAACACCGTGGCTCTACCACCCATTATATGGCGAGATCAGCGAATACTTTACTGCTTGTATCTCAATTAGACACAAACAAGCTGTTGAAGTTGTTCTAATACTTCCATGCCATGCTACGACGCTGGAAATTGAATCGGCCTTGACATTGAATACAGGAATGTTTCCACATTCCACATCCACATCAATGGAAAGTAGAAGATGGATGACAACGCAAAAGCAAGGTATTGATGTCGTCGACCGAGGACTGCTAGTATTAATAAGGGCCGCCACTGGCTACACGAGCATGTGAGCAGCTTGTGCATGAACCACGACTATCCTTGTGCCTTCCTTTTGCCGTATCCTTCTAACTGTCACCATGACGGGACGTGCTGCTCCTTTATTCCTCGAAATAATTGCCGAAGTCTGCCTGTGCACTCGGAATGAGGGACAGAGCCACAGATCACCATTCAGATCGATCCCTCGCAGCGAAGGACTGAAATAGGACTTCCGGAATCAGTCGTCGGTATACACAGTAAGCAAGTTATTTTCTAGGGGATATCTGCCGTGCCGTTTTGTTGATTTTTTCCCATAGATATCTACCGCTTTCCATCTCACTTCTATGACATGCGCGTAACAGTGTATTTTCGTACTTCAATCTACTTCCTCGCCTTCCTCGTCATCAGACTCCTCGAGCATATCCAGGTACTCATCATACACACGAAAACACCGGCAATCGTCGGGTTATTGTATACAGACTGACTTTCTTGATACTTCACATTGGGTATTGGAGGTATGGCACTTTTTCAGCATCCTTGCCGCGTGGTTTTGAACTTATTTAGCATTCGTTGCTTCTTGGGTAGCATGTCTTCCTTCCTCGGTGCCTGCCCTCACCAACAATTGTAGACCTACGGGACCACCCAAGTGCTTCTTGGTACTCAATTGGAATGTATAATCCCTTTGGAAATCCAAGTGAGATGGTTTTCGTTGCCCTGTAGTCTATCAACTGATGAGGTGCATGACTTAGATTGTCCTGGCTACTCCTCTGGTTGTGTTCGTCTTGCTCGTCCTCGAATCGTGAGTTATTGTCATCATGATCTTGTTGCGCATACGAGTATACACATCTAGTCCTCGATGGCTTGCAGAGAAAAGCCCACACTACGCAGCTAGACATTGCTGATGAGTTTCTTTCTCGACTTGAGGCTCTGCAAGATGCAGGTGGATGACAAGTATCTCCCTGACATACCTAAGCGTGAGACTGATAACAGCATCAACTGGGTTGTAATTTCTATATTGCCAGGTGCGGTGCGATAATAGATATCTTTGAGCAACATTTAATTTGTAAACGCATCCATTAGGACGAAAAACAATAGTTCACCCGTCAATACTTCTACACTATAATATCTAGACTGCCGAAAATGTGCATCTACTATCTATCCATCACACGTCAAAAATGATATGTCAGTGTCTGTTCTTAACTCTTAATTGGAAGGATTGAACTCACTTGTTTGTTATTCAGATTATACAACAGGACTGGTGACACCAGGCCTCAACCAACGCCCTCGAAATCATACCTCCTCACCAAACGGTGATCTCATCAGCAGAGCGCGCCAGGCATGACGAGAATCTGGGGATGTCCAATCCAGCTAGGCGCATACCCGAAGAGCCGGTGAGTTCACCCACCACGACACCACTTGGTCGACATGGCTCAACCTTTCACAGCATCGTTGCCATGCCTCACATGAGACTATCGATCCTGGCCTGTCTTGCCAGGATACTCACCCCACCCCTGTAGAACCAATGACATGCTCATACGGTACTAAGCATGGCGAAAGAACGTGTGGTTGTGGGTGTCCACGCTTCGCGTCCCTACGTAACTTCCTGGTATGCTACTGCCTTTCGTAGTTTTGATTTTTCGTTGACTGGCTTGATCGGTCTGAAACCTGGATAACTTGAAGCTGTACGTACGGCCGAACCTTCTACTACCACCACACCACCAAGCTATGTTCTCTGGCATGCCACATCACGAATCCGTCTATGGCTACTACGATGAGCTCGTAGAAGAAGAAAAACAATCCTACCAAGAAGCCAAGACCACCATTGCTACCGCCCATCAGATCCAGGATGAACTGAAGGAGCTTCGCCAGGAAACCGCGTTGTTGATGTATCGTTGCCAGTGTATCACTGGTACATGTTACTATCTATATTCTGTATTAACATAGCGCGAACTCCAAAATTGGTGCCACCACGCGCTGTTCCATCTACTACCCTTCCGAAGCGTAAACGCAAAAGCTCTTCCTCGGCGACTCCTGGTATGTCGACATTTGCTCTGTCAAATCCCACCTTTCATACTGATTCGCCTGTAGTCTTGCACCGTAAACCGTCCTCAGCGATGTTGCAAATGATTACCAACACCAACCTTCTGAAGGAACTTACGAGGAAGAAGCGAAAGGTGTAGTTACTTGGTTTATGCTGGATGATTATTCTCTTGTATACAATGTTTTGGGACACGACAAGGCTCTAATACATGCATATATGCGGCTCGGGGTATCCTTCTTGTTGAATAAACAACATGGCGACTGGAGAACTTCGAGTTGACTCACTAGCATGCTCCGACCTCAGCTGAATCTGGTATAGTATCGTTCATCCACCACCTCTCAGGTGCGCTTTGTCCTTCATTTTTCGGCCCTGGAACGGATGAGCAATTGACTCATGCAAAGTAAAGATTCGTACCTTCTTGGACTGAAGTTGAGTGAGAGGTCACGCTTCATGCTTGACCATGTCTTGCTCTACAAGTGCCTTGATATTTGCGAATTCACCTGTATACACCCGGTGAGCTCAACAGAACGCCTGACATATCAGAGTCAACGTACTTGGTGAGAGCCGGGCACTTCCTTCCAGGCAGAGTCTATTGAGCTTTGTACCGCTTCCTGGCGTCGTCGCGTGATCTCAACTTCGACTTCCAGGTCCGCAACCTTCTGGCGAGCCCGGCTGCAAGCCTTCTTTGCCGCGTTTGTAGCAGCTTCTTGGGCAAGGAGAATGGGGAGGGTGGACTCTTGTGTCAGCTGTTGGCATCATGAGATGCTTGCTGTCAGCTTTGGCTAGGAACTCTGCAGAGATAGAAGATGGGAGTGACATGAGGAATAATAGATATGTTGGAATCCTCGGTGTTGTGCAGGGTAGACTCCTGGCTGGTAAGGCCAGTTGATATGAACTTGTTATTCCTAGGCTCCTACAGAGCCTGTATTTATACTACTTCGCAATGTAATCTAGAATGTACTACAACTTTCTACTAGTCTTGTGCTTACTCAGCAACTCTCGGCATGATGCCGGATTGCTCCTTCTAGAACTTTCCGGCAAAATCCCAACAAGATAGAATGTAGGAGGAGCAAGAAGGGCCAGTGGAGAACAACTGCATTACTTATATATATGCAGGACATTGGAGTCAGTTGGGCTGGCGGGCTGCTATGCCAGGCGCGGCATATCGGCATCGTACCACCACCTTCCTCCTTGGGAGCAGGCTTCACCACCTTGACGATGATGACATTGGTCGACTTTGGGCATGCGGGACTGACTTTGATTTGACCGCATTGCTCCTCATACCAGTCGATGGCTGTGCATATCCGGCATCTCCTGCACACCAACTGCAGCAAGGAGTCGAGGACATCGAGGGAGTCGTAGCAGCTCACCGTTGGACATGAGTTTGACATGGAAATCCTCAGGCTCTCACATGCACATCCCCAGCTATCACCACCTCTGCCACATTCACTCGCTTCTGTCGCTTGTCAAAAGGCTCACATCTTTCATGTGTATCTAAGGTATCTTGGCTTGTTCGATGCCTCAAATGCTAGGGTATACAGGGTTCATCAATGACATACAGTGGGTAAAGCGACCTCACTCCGAATCCTGATTGTCCCTTGCAGGAATCTGTTCCTCCCTACTGAATCGCCTCCTTCCCGCACAGCCATGGACGTTCCCTCAGACAATCTCCCTTCGGCGTATCATGTCTTCTTCTCTCCACATAGCCATGACTGTCCTCTAAAGTGCATAAAAAGGCTGCGCAAGAAGCCCAGGGAGTACTACTGCAAACAACTATTTTCCAGACATGCATTCTCCTCCTATTCTCCCTGCCCTCCTACCACGGTTTTACGTTATTCATGCGGCTCTGGGATGGAGGTCACGTCCCAGTCAGGTCTTTTGTAGAGGCAGGACCGACTGGAGGCACTATATTAGCGCTACCACTAGCGCTCACAATCTGGATACTGCTCGCTCCAGAGAAGCAATCCCCCAGAGAGGATTTCTTCGATGACGATGAGCCTCAGACGTGGTGGACTCGCTGGGGAAAATTCGTGCCGCACGGGTTTATGCTAGTCTTTGTCGGCATTGCCGCTTGCCCGTTGGGTGCCATTTACATCCCGGAAGAGGATAGCGGAGACTTGAAAGCAGGTGAAGCAGCATCGGCTGCACTGGTCGGTGGAGTCTTTTTAATAGTGATTTGGTAATTGGCAATACATGAAGAGTTCTAAGAAAGTGGTGAGTACTCTTTCTTATTCTTGCATACCTTCTCTGATTTCGATGTTCAGATTTTAGCCATTCTTTATTGTTAATCTACTGTACGTGCCATCTATCTTACCTGCATCCCTTCCTCTAATTTTCCTTCAGCGTACATATTTAGAAGGATCTGTATATGCCGCTGTTGTTGTATTGTGGACAATACTATTTGCTTCACGTTGACTCCTCGAAATATGAACCATACATGCCGGCATCCCTCTGATATTCCAGGGGTTTCACTGAAAATGATCTGCCTGGAGAATTCCACCTGGGACCTCAGCGGTTCAACATTCGTAAATCCTACATTGGTATTATGTGTTATGTCTTCGAGTACCAACACCAGCCTAATCGGTCCGAGATCCCTGTATAAGTACTCCGGAGCCTAGATCCATCCCTCTGTGCTTTTCATCATCATTGAGATTACCGCTTGACCTCCGCAATTGTTTATAGATACCACGTACCTCAATCTCAGGTGTAAAGAAACTTCCTCCTCCGTGATTGCTATCTTACTTCACTCCAGTTGTCACATATGAAAGAATTCATCACCTTGGCTTTGAGCACAACAAATGATTACACTGGTGTTTCATGCGAGACGGGATCAAAAGCCAAAGCTGTAATTAATCAGTCCTTACGTTAACTTTCCCATCTACAGACTGGAAGACCTTACAATCGACTCATGCTTTCCATCAGCCATCCTCCTACTTATTGGAGCACTTTTTAAGTAGACAGGCATCGCATCGTGATTGAGCGTGCGCAAAGTTAAGTGTTTCTTTTTTGTAAACAAATATTATTGCTTATATGATCCCATCGAAGTAAGAGGTTGAGTAAACTACTAGAACAGTCAACGGATGATAGTCCTTGAAGAATACTCGGTTCTGCTTTCAAAACTCCGAGCAGTTCTTTTCTGAGAACCTTGGTCTGTAGGCGCCGATCCGTCGAGACTCGACTTCCGCTTCTCCATAACCGGTCTCAGAGCTCAAATGTTCATCCTGCATCCATGACGGGCACAATGCACTGGAAGCCATGCTGCTCTATAGAGGAGGGTACGTTCATCCGACCAGGGTTTCCACGCGCTGATTCGAACACTACGTTTACTAGCTGACACAATACTCACAGCACCCGGAAGTCCGCTCGAAATTGAAACACAGGTGAGCCGCCAGCATTTCAGCACACCTGCACATGATTTGAATGCGATATAGGATGTTGACGGGAGAGTATTGAAAGTCTGGAAGAATCTCTGGCCCTCCGTACGAGCATTCTTCTTACATGCTACCAAGGAGCACGTCGGCAAAACCTGTGTGGTATACGAGAAAGAACGCTACACCTTCCAGCAGATGCTAGAAATGGCCATCACCGCAGCTATGTTTAGGGATGTTTACGGTGTTAAGAAGGGTAAGGAAGTCCTGCCGCTTTTTGATTCTGCCAGTCTACTCACCTCCAGTACAGGTGATCGCATCATCATTTGTTCTCGAAACCTTCTGAGTTACTACACTGTGTTTTGGGCTTGCCGTGCGTTTTACTGTGATTCCTCGACAAATGGAGATCATTACTGAAGATTGCAATGCAGACCTTCTGGGCACTGTCACTGCTCTTGTGAATGCGTAAGATCTGTATTCATATGCTCCTAGAGTTGGTGTTCTGATCCGCACAACAGGTGGCTGCCATTGGATGCCCTCAGGCATTGTATCACACTTACGAAATTACACTGATCATCCTTGATCCCGAACGAGCGGAGCAGATTGAGCCAATAGCCGCTGATCTTAAACGCGCTTCAAGTGCCTCCGGATATCTTGTTCTTCAGGATCATGAGGGAAAAGGCCACTGGGAAGGCTGGGACATTTGGAGCGAAGCATTCCTCGAGTATCATAAGGATCCAGGAAAAATACTACGCAACGATCCTCGCATCATACCAGAGGATAATGCGACGATCATCTTTACATCGGGAACCACTGGCCTTCCTAGTACGGTTTTTTGATTTATCTGTTGATGGTTCTATTGCAGAGGGCGTCCTGAGCACACAGCGAGTGTTCCTGACATTTTTGTTCAACGTGCGGTCCATCTTCTGTGTGGTATGCTTGCTCTCATATATGTCTCGTCAGTCAGCCTCCACTGTCAGAAGAGACTACATTCGACGAGGCGTGCCGATCCCTTCTTCGCTCGCCTCAGGCACGAATAATGGGATCTTGCTTTCATCACCGCTGTTCCATGCCACTGGGACCAGCGCGACTGTAAGGCAAAGTCCATACCCAAGTAAGCAGGAGCTGATCTATCCTTAGCTCACTGGTGCCTTTTATGGAACGAAGATTATCTTAATGATAAAATGGAATGTAGTAGAAGGTGATCTCTGACTTCATCACCGTTTTGACCATCTTTTTAACACTGGTTTTTGTAGCTGTAAGGTAAATCAGTCCTCTGTCCTTTGAGGTGGAAGCATATTCAACGACATGACTACAGATTGTGCAAGGAGGAGGGTGTAATCTCTTTGGGTGGGTACATCGATACCTGTATCATGGCTGGGCCAGCTGACTATATCGCAGTGTTCCATTGCTTATAACCGATCTAGCCGATAGCCCGTTGTCTGGTTTTCCCATAGAAGTGATCACAATCAGAGGGGCTCCAGTCATGCTGTCTATCCTTCACAGGTCGAAAGAAGCCTTTCCACATGCAACACTGTATGCTTTCGCTCTACCTTCCTATTCCCAAGAATAATAATGATTTTACATAGCGGACAAGGCTATGGTTCCACCAAGACTAATGTGACATCAGTTGGTTTCTGTGAGGGATACCCTTCTCAAATAATATTTCCAGGAACCTAATTTGTTCCACCAAATGGACTGGATTATGTGGCCAAACCGGACAGCTGGTTAGTCCACCGAGTCTTGGGTAATAAACATTAAGCTGAATACGATCTCAGCGGTTTCATAACTCCTGTTAATGATATTCTGATAATGAAAGATAATGTCAGAGCTGCCTCGGGGGTGGTAGGGGAGATATGGCTTCGTGGACTGAATATGATGAAAGGGTACCACAGAGACCAAGGTTTGTTTCGGTGTGTATGGTGTTCTTAATGAAACGTGCTTACAACAAGCTTCCACGGCGGCTACTGACAAGGTATGCGAAGGATAGCTTATTTACATGTGTTTGAAGGCTCATCGAAATGGGTTCTGACTACAGATGGATGGGTAATGACCAGAGATCTTGGTTGCATCAATGAAGAAGGATATGTCTACGTTAAAGACAGGATTAAAGATATCATTATCCGTGGTGGGGAGAGCATTGTGAGTAGCCTGTTATATCTTGCTATAACAGGCTAACGGTTCGCAGGACTCGGTTTCCATGGAAAACGCCCTATATACCGAACCTTGTGTTCTCGAAGCGGCTGCAGTGGGCATCCACGATGGGAGTGGCTGGCGCCGGATGGAGAGCTCTACCTGATGAAAGGCTGGGTGAGCTGGTGACCACATTGGTCACTGTCAAACCTGGGTATCATGGAAAGCTCAGCAAGAAAAAGCTTTTGGAGACTGCAAAGAGACTGTGAGTGGTTGTGTCCAAGTTTAATTTGCGGTAGCTCCTCAGCTTATGTAGGGTCACTAAAATTCGCAGTCCTGATAATGATTATCTTGAAGGATGGGGAGTTTGGTGAGTATCTGTATATGCCCTTTATCAAGGCGCAGTTACGGATAATTGTGTGGAAAGAGTGGGTACATAGAAGGAAGGAAGATATGCAAATGGACGAAGCGAAATCCAAGTTGTAAGATTGCAACACGTCGTCCAATTGTAGTCAACCCGTTTATCATCAAGGGGACCATGTCATTCAAGAAGCAGAAAGCCCATAGATTTCATTCGGCATCTGTTGGGATAGCAATCCCGAGTTAGTGCTAGAATGCACTCGAAGCTTCGGCATGACTAAGCAGCATAAGCATTTAACCGCAAAAGTAGATATACAGAGTAATTCGTAGTAAGTTCTAGAAGTAGTACAACATGTATTTAAGTATGATGCCTCTCCCTCAAGAGGCTAATTAATTCTCTCTCTCTTACATTCTCCTCTGTACTTCCAACAGGTTATGGGCCCCGGCCCTAACTGAACTACTTACCCCATTACCTACTTTGCACTTTTGTACATTATGTACACATACAGAACCACATGGAAAGCCAGTCCGTTTACAGAATTGACCCCCTTAAGGGCCCGGAAAATTACCCGACATGGAAAATCAAAATGATCGATATCCTAACCAATTTAGGTCTAATTGATTACACAGACGGAAGCATCAAGGCCCCGGCAGAAGTGGCACTGGTGGCAGATTGGAAGAAGAGCGATAGGAAGGCTCTTTCGACAATAAGGTTGCAGGTTTCGGATGGCCTGCTGGTGTATATTGCTGGTTTGAAGACTTCAGAAGAAGCATGGAATGCTCTAAAAGACATGTATGAGTCCAGGGGACCCATGGGAATTGTCCTTGTTAGAAGGAGATTCTTTAGAGCTCAGTGTGAAGAAGGGGGAAACATAGAGGAACATATCAGGACTATGAGGTCCTATCAAGAGGAGCTGGCATCCCTCAAGCAGAAAGTTGAGGAGGAGGACTTCTCTATTACACTGCTTACATCACTCCCGGAATTGTGGAATTCATTCATTTCATCAGTGGACACTGCAGATTTGAAAGATTCCTACAAATTGATTTCCCGAATTCTCCAGGAAGACATCCGATTATGAGAAAAGACTTCTGATCCGACCACAACACTTGCAGCACATGGCAAGAAGAAGCCCAACTCAAAAATCACATGTTACGGATGTGGAGAAGCCAGCCACATCAGGGCAAACTGCCCAAATGGAAAGAAGAATTCCGGAAAGTCATGGAAGGGGAAAGGGAAGGGCCAGACCCAGGCACATGTTGCCAAATTGGATTCAGATGAAGAAGATTACACATTTTGCACTACAGACACTGCACTCGTTACGCTTGCATGGTCATCATGGCTGGGGGACTCAGGAACAACTAAACATATAGTCAAGAACAGATTACATTTTTCTGACTATGTTGAGACCCCAGGACATGAAGTTATTGGTGTAGGAAAGTCAAAAGGCTTGGGAAGAGGAACAGTAAAGATTAAAATGGTTGAAGGGGACAAAACCACTTCAGTTACACTGAAGGACTGTATTCACTGTCCCAAGGCACCATTCAATCTTATTTCGCTGGGGCGCATCACGGATGCCAGGTTTGAACTCAAATTCAAGGGATCCCGGATGAATATTAATTCACCGTGTGGCAAGACAATTGGCCACGGAGATAAGATATCAAAGCTGTATAGCCTTGACATCATCGCACCAGAAATAACCCAAGCCCACATGATAAAACCGGCCCGATCATGGCAGATGTGGCACCAAGTGATGGGCCACTTAAATATGGGATCAGTAAAGAGACTATTTAGAAAGAAGATGGTCAAGGGTATGGATGTGGATGAGTTAGCTGAGCCCTAGAAGGATTGCAAAGCCTGTATAAAGGCCAAGCACCATGTTGAGCCATTTCCACAAGAAGCTCAAAGGGAATACACAAGAATAGGTGAAATGACATTTTCGGACCTATGGGGGCCAGCCCGAACTCAGGGTATCCATGGAGAAAGATATTACATAAGCTTCACAGATGGCAAATCCTGGAGGACAATGTTGTATTTTCTGAAGTCAAAAGAAGGTACGGAGATCAAAAAGAAAATCCAACAGTACCAGAAATACATCAAAGTCCACAAAGGGGAGGACCTGAAGTTTATGAGGATTGATAATGGGAAGGAATACATTAATGAGGTGGTGAAGGAATACCTCCATGGCAATGGCATTCAGTTGGAACTGACTGCTGCATATTCTCCACCCCAAAACAGAATTGTGGAGAGAGTCAATCGGACCCTTGTGGAGCATGCACGTGCCATGCTAGAAGAACATCATTTGCCGAAATTCCTATGGCCCGAGGCAGTGGCATATGCCACATACCTGAAGAACCAATCACTGACTAAGGCCATCAAGAATGATCTAACCCCCGAAGAAGTGTTTTAGGGCACAAAACCGGACATTTCAACACTCCAGGAGTTCGGAGCAAAGTGCTGGGTGTTGCAGCAAGATAACAAAAGGTCAAAACTTGACCCGAAATCAAGGGAGTTCATTTTTACAGGTCTCACAGATGAATCCAGGGCCTGGAGATATTATAATTCTCAGACCAGACAGATTCAGACCTCAAGAAATGTTATATTCCTTGATGACAACACTAAAGAGCCTACAGACAATGACTATATTGTATCCCACCCTTCGTTGCTCGAGGGGGAGTTAGGGAACAATGTCGAGCAGACTCCAGGTGGAAATGATGACATTTCCGATGATTCCATGGCTGCCAAAATTGCCGAATCAAAAGGGGAAATGCCCCTTGATGCCTCGGTAACCAAATCAAAGCTTCCCATTTGGCATGGGAAGGTGATCGAGCCACATACCAAATCGGTCCGGATCGCATCAATCAATCAACCAAGTTACCGGTTGCTCAATAATCCAGCTGCAAGAGGCACGAAATCGCTGGAATTGCAGCGTGAAATGTCACAGGAACCTTCGGAAACTGCAAATATAGCAGCAGACTATGCATGTCTGGGGGAGACTGCAGATAACCTCAGTGATGAGCCATTAAGCCTTGAAGAAGCTAAAACAAGGCTAGATTGGCATCATTGGAAGAAAGCAATGGATGAAGAATATAATCTATTGACTTCTCTGGGTACATGGCAGTTAGAGGAATTACCCCAGGACAGATCACTTGTAAATTGCAAGTGGACTTATAGATTAAAAAGGGATGGTGATGGGAAAATCACCAGATACAAGGCCAGACTCGTTGCAAAAGGATTTTCGCAGGTCCCTGGCATTGATTTCTTCGATACATATGCACCGGTTGTCAGGTTGGACACATTCTGCCTACTTATGGCCATTGCCACACAAAGAAACCTGATTATACATGGAATGGATGTCATTGGAGCTTACTTAAATGGAAAGCTCAATGAATCCATTTACATGGCTCAACCGCCAGAATATTCTGATGGAAGCGGCAAAGTGGCACACCTCAAATTGACATTATATGGACTCAAGCAATCTGGCCGAGTTTGGAACGAAAAATTAAACGCTACATTTTTGGGACTTGGATACACGAGATTGATCAGTGATCAATGTGTATACATCAGACAAGTGAAATCAGGCCCCATAATTATAGCTGTGCATGTAGATGACATGACATTGCTTGCCCAGGATGATGAAACCATGTCTAACATGAAAGAAGAACTTAAGAAGAAGTTAAATGTTACAGACATGGGGGAGATTCAACATATATTGGGCATGAAGATAGACAGAAATTGGGAGAAGGGCACTATTACCTTATCCCAGAAGGCATATATTCTCAAGGTACTCGAGAGAATGGGCATGAAAGACTGTAAACCGGTCAAAATGCCTATGGACCCGAATGTATGGCTAGAGAAAATCCCCAAAGGTGATTCCCGAGGCACTGACACAGCCACCAGACAGTATTACCACACTGGTGTCGGATCTCTGATGTATGCGGCAAATGGATCCCAGCCCGATATTGCACATGCTGTCACGGAATTAAGCAAATATGTGCAGAATCCAGCTGCTGAGCATGTCACAGCACTCAAACAAGTTTTCCGTTACTTGAAGGGGACTCTAGACTTAGGAATTACATATGGAGGGACTACAGATGAACTGATACCTTATTCAGATTCAGACTGGGGAGAAGACAGAACAGATAGAAGATCAACATCTGGTTATGTCTGTACCTATGCAGGGAGAGCTGTTACTTGGAGTTCAAAGAAACAGCCCACCGTAGCCCTATCCACTATGGAAGCAGAGTATATGGCCCTTGTGCACACAACTAGAGAAGTAATATGGTTGCAAGCGCTTCTAACCAAATTAGGGTTGCCACCTGATGGTGCAACTACTATTATGGTCAACAATCAATCAGCGATCAAATTCACTGAAAACCCAATATTCCACGTGCGATCAAAACACATTGATATCTGTCATCATTTTGTTCGCGAACACATGGCTTCAAATGAAGTCAAAGTTCAGCACTGCGCCTCAGAGGAGAACTTAGCAGATATATTCACTAAAGGACTACCAAGACCATTACATGAATATTTATCTGCAGGTATTCTAGGAACTCGGAATTGAGGGGGAGTGTTGGGATAGCAATCCCGAGTTAGTGCTAGAATGCACTCGAAGCTTCGGCATGACTAAGCAGCATAAGCATTTAACCGCAAAAGTAGATATACAGAGTAATTCGTAGTAAGTTCTAGAAGTAGTACAACATGTATTTAAGTATGATGCCTCTCCCTCGAGAGGCTAATTAATTCTCTCTCTCTTACATTCTCCTCTGTACTTCCAACAGCATCCCAACGCAGTTTGATACAAGATGATGACGTGTCTTAAGAAGCTTGGTGGTTTATGTGGCAGATATGGGCACTTGGGTCTTGTATGGATAACTTAGTGAGTACCCCTTTATTGCCATTACAACAGGACTCAGCTGTGCTTGCAGTTCATCGTGGCCAACCTAGACTACACTAGGATGGATGTATGGGGACAAAGGACAACTGTTTGATGAATACTTCACATGATCGATGTTCATGCACACATAAGAAACATTTGGACACAATAATTATCTTTGATGTTTAAAATGCCTCCTTGAAGAGAGTTTTTCCGGAAAAGCTTAGCTGACTTCTTCGAGGTCTTTGTTTGTTCCGGAACCAAAGAAATGAGTATCACAGTGAGAGGATTGGGCTTTTCACAACATCATACGTCAAATCTGGTCTGAACACTGATCGCAGTTGGTTGAAGTTTGATATTGAGACAATATTCAAGCCACACAAAATGAAGTATATTCACAGGTAGTATCTAAGAAGACTTCTTCGCTGCAGGAAACTGGTGCTCCATTGTCCAGTGGAGGGAAGGATCATCCTGGTCTAACTGCCCGGCAAGTTCCTGAAGTTTTTGCTCACTAAGTAAATCATGGAGTACTTGTGCATGTTCCATAGCAATGAACATGATAAAGGTAGCAACATTGAGGGCATCAACGGGGTTTGAAATGTCAAATGTTCTTACATTGTGCTCATAAATTACTCCTTCCTGGATCAAAATGTAAGTTTGAGACAGATAGGCCACACAGAGGAAACACAGACCATGCAATCCTTCATATGGGCACTTACAATGGTACCCAAAGTGCCATCGGTTATGACGCTGTATACTGGGAAATTGGTAATGCCAATGGCGGCAAGGAACTTGAGACAGGCCACAAGGCCCATGCGACTTTGGTTGACACCGTTCTTCCCACGTTGGTCAAGAAACTTTTTGTTCTCATTTATACAGAGAACAAACATTAGAGTGCCAATAATGGAGACATCCTTGGTACTGGGAACTGAAGCAGTCAGTCCTGGGCTGTTGTCCTGATCCATTCGAATATTGTTGCTGATATGTAACACCTGGAAAGGACTTTCTAATGGTGTCAAAGGCGATGGCGGTAGTACCTCTGTGGCCTTGCAGTCAATGGTGACTTGTTGTCGAGAAGTCATTATAATGGCATTCTTGTTGAACGCATCCCGGTAATCATCTTTGCTTGCAGATGAGATGGGGGTCCGGTCGACAATCGCTGTTTTCTCGCGAGTAGGCTGAGTGACAAGAGAGAACTTTTTGAGACGAGACCATTGTGCGGTGGTCATCGTGGCTACCGGGAAAATGTGGCATGTAAGTGTGACTAGGTTGTCACATTTGGCCTGCTTGGGTTCTTTGGGAGCCAAATTCGGAGTTGGTGAACAGACACGAGTGTTAACCAAAAAAGTGGTGGAGGCATGCGCAATAGCAGAGAGCCATGAACCCTCTTCACCACCAACTTCGCATGCACGCCGAGCAAACTTGAGGGTATCAGTTGTCCAGGTTGAGCGTCTAATTCTCAAGTCCTCGACCACCTCCAGGGAAGTGCTGTACTCGTCATTCCGAGGGAGCTTGATCATTCGCTCAAGGCTGTATCAAAATGTTATATTAGTAAAAATGAGAATTGAGTTCAGACAGACACACTGAAAATGTATATCGCCATCTTGATGGATATCAGAAGCAATGCCCAGCAGCATGTCCCAGGTAGACCGTGCTTCAGCTTCAGGGATATTTTCCCTTTGCACACTCGCTTTCATATCTCGGGCTTTCCGAGATGCTGTCAGAATCAACTCCATCTTCTGTTTGAGGTATATGCCAATGGGATCAGGAAGAATGTTGCTGCTTTGGAAGCGCATCCGACCTGAGTCTAGATTCATTTTTAAGACGTCAAGCTCCGCCTGCACTGCCGGATCGGAGGATTGTGCTCCCTGTTAAACCGAGTAACCAGTCATCAAAATAAGTACTACTAATATTCCCAAGCACATGTACACACCGTAAAGAGTGTTGGCAATTGGTACAGATCAGTGTACCGCTTGTACATCTGTGTAACCTGATTTTGTTCACAAATGTCAGATGGATAGATATCCAGTTTGATACCCCTCCAATACATCCATGAATAGACGCATCCATCTGTAGTCTTGCCAGTTCTATGGTGGGCAGTGGCAAAGCTGAGAAAACCATCAACTTGAAATGTCTTGGGGTTGAACAAGCACAAGAGAACCCACCTGCTGGCCGAGTATCTCTTGGATCTAACATCGGACTCGGATAAGTCATCGTCACTGTCTCCTGGAATGCCTTCACTGCTTGGGGGAGGCAAAGGCAAAGTTTTAGAGATGTCAAGATGACTAACAAAGCTCTCACAGTGGTGCCATTAGCAGTCTGGGACAGATATGTCAATGAATAGGCCGTTGTAGTGATATACTATGCATGAACCTCTCTCCCAAAGCAATCGGTAGAAGGCCTGCTTCAGTGCTTGTTTGCTCTTCGACATAGCGACGTTTTTTGATTTGCCGCAAAGAGGCTCTGAAGGTCCAAGAGATCATCCAGACAATTCCAACAAGGCTACAGGAAGGACATACCCTTCAGAGGTTGTTGCAGGTTGACTTGCAGCTCTGAACAAGATTGAGCATAGAGTGTAATAGGAAAGGGAAAGGTACAAATGAGCTGCCTTTCCGAGAGGACCCCCTTGGATGATAAGAGTGTAGGCTGAGTGGCAGAACCAAGAAACAATGACTCTAATTTACCCAGCTTTAAGATTATTGTTTTTTTTCTTGTGCCTTGTAATTCTGTCAGGGAAAAGTAACAAAATCGAGAGGATGATGAAGCGCTCACCCTGTCATGCTGGGGAAAATTGTGGGGCAAGTCTAAGTGAGGCTGCACTTCTCTTATATGTATCAGGTACATGTATTCACCTTCTCAATCCATTGGTGTTATGTCTACTGATAGACGTCGATTTGAAGTGTACACCATTAGTTGCAACCAGTGATCTCTGCTCCAGGTGTGGAGTTAGGCTTTAAGCAATTTACTTCAGTGCATGGTATGGCAGAAGAAGGTACGTACATAAAAGGTCCTTCCTCAGAGTGGCTATCTCTTAAATCAGGTCCCAAATGTCTGTTGACAATGCTTTGTAATCTCTCAGGCAACAGGGAATTCGATGAATCTAATTACAGTTCCGGTTGTCTACAGATCAGTTTGAGCAAAAAAGGCCCATTGTAGTGCTATAGAACACCTTACCTTGCATGGTTGACAACCTTAAGCCATGAGCTGACTTTATCAAAAACGTTCGCAAAAGCCTACATGCAGGGATTGCGTTAGGAGCATGATCAGATCGCCATTCAAGAGCGTCGACTTCGTGAAAACCATGTTGATAAGCAATGAATTTGGCATCATATGTTGATTGCAATTCATGGAAGTAGGAGTGTAGTCTGAATAAGATAAGGATGAAGGAGAGGGAATCAACTGGATTTTGAAGGTCAAAAACCCCAGATGGATGGTTCAATGTAGCGATGCACACAGCATGAACAGAGGGCTGAAAGCATAGTTAGAGATACAAGGAGGTTAAAAAGTGGCATTCAACTGACGCACCAAATCGTTCCAGATGTCCGATTTATCAAGCCAGGCAATGACCAGCTGTATCTTTGACCAGGCCGGAGCAATGATAATACCCATAGCAGGATGCTTCATTTTCCATACATGTCGTTGATAGAGGGTGCTTGCCAGCATGCCCCAGATCGTATCAGGAGTGCCCACACACAGCAACGATAGTAAGACGGAAGCACGTGTCGTATCAGGTAGGATGGAACCATCAATGAGATATGGATCTAACTTACATACCGGATCTAGCTTCGCCGTTACATCCTCATCAAGAGGTGCTGTGCTGGATTTGTCGCCGGAGCCTTGACTGCACCATTCTGCAGATTCAGATTCCGCATTACGATTCTGAAATCCTTGACAGAATTCCGAGGCAGTCCAGTGGTCAGATACCGGTGTTTCAGATGATTCAGAAGCACTACTGTCAAAGTCGTGCTGGTCACTGCTATGCCTTCGAACTCCTTGAGAGACTTCTGAAACTGGACTGAGGTCCGAAACCGAATACTCTGATACCTCGGAGTTGCTATCAACATCGACACATGACTCATGGTCTTTGCCTGAATCAGAACTGTCCTCCCTGATAGCACGATGCAACAAGAGGCAGGGCGCTATGATAGTCTTGGAGGTATACTTCATCAGAGGGTTAAAACCATGCACCGGGTGTTTGGGCACAGTAATTTTGATATTCTCACTAGAGTAAATTGTTAGTTAACCCATCCAAGATCTCGATGGGCTTTCCTTACACCACGATATTATGTTAGCCACCAACTCTACAAACTAGATCAAGCAAGGATCGCCACTCGCACTTTGGTGGATCGATACACTCGCAGGCCTAAGTCTGTATGGAATGAGCAGGAGCAAACTTAGATAGACGCGAAACATGGAGTTCGAGTTGGGTAGATTAAACCTTAGCCGAAGCTGGGGTTTAGGCCAGCTGAGGCTCTACTTAAATACACAATGTATGGCCTAATAATAGTACTGTGGGAACGAGTCCTTTGCACTCATACGAGAGAAGCATATATCATAAGCGATAAATGTAAGAAAAGGAAAAAGAAAAAAGAAAAAGAAAAGAAAATGAATAAACCGTAACATTACCCCCCCTTTAAGACTTGTTTGTCCCAAATGAGTCCTCTGAAGTCCACTCATCCTCTGATGATGATTGTTTGGACTCTGAATAGAAGGATAGTGTGTCATCTTCTTCCGCCTCTGACTCCCAGTCCCAGTTTTCGTGAATTCGTTGGAGGTTTTGGAGGTTTACCTCTTCCTCCGTGTCATTTGTTTCTATTATTGGTACTCCGTCGGCTTCGTCTGTGGTAATGGTGATGAGCCTCAAGGCTCTGTACGCTCAGAATTCGTGGATTTTTAGCATTATAATAAATGCCTTGTCCACTTAGCGGACTTTCACAAAGTCAACGATTGCAATCACGGCAATACCCACTCTTACCGCCAACTATCCTTCCCAGCTCGTATTCCGTATCAATATGCGCCACTTCATTAATGCTGCCAGGCACCTGATTGCAGATCTCACAGATTTAGGACCATCATTAATCGCCCAGCACAGCCATCAATGACATCAGCATCAAGCGTCAATTAATAGAATGCTGCTGCCAAAGTACCTATTCCATGGCAAAAGACTGAATACTGTGACCTTTCCACCAGCTTTACTAAGGCTGTTACAATGCCAAGACAATGCCGCACACATCTACTTCAGTGTACTACCTTCAGTGTACTTTGCCGCAGCAACACAGCAGCCCAAGAATCCGTATGTCGGCGGAATTCTTTCTGATCACTAAGTCTATACGCGGTAAAACCGTGTGGGTGCTGTTACTTTAGAACTCTGGGAGCACGCGTTTTGTATCATTTCTTACCAATCGATGTACTAAGGACTTACTAAGGACTCGTTTCAAGTATTCTAATTTTATTCCGGACTTGTAGTATAAAAGCTAGTGTAGTAGTAGTTGCTAGAGAAGTTACTGGACACTAGCCATCATCCATGTTATCGACCACCATTGTCGCTTGTACTCGCTAGGAGATAGACAATAACAACATAGTCACTCCAAGTTATACTCTCTGTCACAGCTTTTCTTCTAACGGTATTGGTGTACACTCATATTGCGCCAATACATGGAATTTGGTGTCCACAACTCGCTTTTATCTTTTAATCCGCCAGCATCATTTCACTTTCACCAGCCAGGATCGTTTTCATCAGTTTTCACCTTCTACATCGCCATCGTTTTACCCAGTTCAGTTCAGGATCGTTACGTCCCTGTGTGGACTCAGATTAGGATCGTTATTGCCGCCATGTTACGGTTTATTCTTTTCTTTTCTTTTTCTTACGCATTCATGCTTACTATGTTACTGCGGAACTGCGGTTCTGATCGGACGTTCTATTTTTAGTTTACTCAACGTGTATTTAAGTAGAGCCTCAGCTGGATTAAACCCCAGCTTCGGCTAAGGTTTATTCTACCTAATATCGAACTCCGTTCTTCGTGACTACTTGTCCCATCGACTTCCGTCGTCTTTGACTTGCTGAGCGTCGTCTACCGAAGTGCGAGTAGCGGCCTTAGTACGATCTAAGTCGATTTGAGTTAGTGGCTAACATTTAGCCGAAGCTCGACCTACGTTGCTCAGCGTCACTTCCGAGAAAGAGCGCTGCCCAACTTCTTTACGAGAAATTACCCCGCTTGACCAGAGAGGTCATCGCCTACGTTCGTGTGGACAACCCGGTGCTTGTCAACGTACAGCGAGTGGACCAACGGAAAAGCACTCACCGTCACCATTCATCCGATACACTACTTCATCGCCCTAGCCTTGTGGCTAATACCCCCTTGGCTACTTCTCCTGTTGTTAGTAACCCGGTTGATTGTTGAATCAATCCTCTACGACGACCTACTCCTCGCAGTCTTCTTGACTGTATACCTTACCTTTCTCCTAATCGCGCTCGGAATACCGGCAGTGTTGCTAGCAAGCTTGCTGGCCGCCCTGTACTCGTTATATCCCCGCCTCGTTTAGGAACAACGTATCCCAACACGAAACCATTCATCCTCGCCCTTCAGCTCGCCTCTATTTTAACAGTCCTGCTGTTAATAGTAACGAGCACTCCTCCCGACGAAAGCTGCAAAATCTCGTTAATGAACGGCTCTAACTACGAGACCGACCTTAGCCTGATCATCGCTCTTCTCATTGTCCTGACCATCCTTGCTGTTTACCAGCTTGCATGGTCCATCGTCGACTTACGCCACGGATAGATTTACGGACGAATGCTCTGGTCCGAATCCATTCTCGCCGTCTTCGCGACTTTTATACTCTTTTTCTTCTCCATCACTTTGTACCAGCTACGCCGTTGCTGCCAGCGGAGACAAATCCGTGCACGACTACCCATTCATTATATCCCCAGCGCCCCGGCATATCCACCGCCGGTAATCGATATTCCCTCGGCCTCCCAACAGACAATAGGAGATGTCGAGTCCAACGCCTCCGGGGAACCTGGAGGATCCCTCTACACATCGTCGCGACCCAGCTCGCGATCCTCCGAGTCGAGCACCGACTCCTACAGAAGCGCCTCCAGCGCACCAGCCGAATCCATCGACATCACCGATACCGGGAGGGTACTCCTCGAGCGAGGAGACACGCCCCTACCAGGCCTCTTCGACGTCTCTCCAGTCCAAGGCGAGTCAAGCGCCGACGGAGGGCGAAGACAAGACACCAGGCATCTGGTCGAGGGCGAAGAAAGCCCTGATACCGAGTTCGAAGGGGACGAGCTCACCGAGTGGGAGAGAACTCGCCTCGACGACCTCCTCGACGACCTCTACCCGAACACGGAGGAAGATGCAACCTATACCGGAGACAACTACAGCGGCCGGTCTGGGCACAAGTGGACAGATGCAGTCTGGAAAAGCGAAAGTAGAAGATATCGGGTCGCCCAGGAGGATGATTTTGACAGCGACTCAGGAGAGCTTAGCCTCGGAGCCTCCGCGGCTACCACCAGTACAGCTCACCCACAGCCTCTTCCAAGGGCCTGGCCGACCAATAGAGGACCCCCTGTCGCCTGGTACCCCCACACCAGTTGGGTCTACGCCGACGACGGGGAAGAGGCTCCTGTGGCCGGAGAGCAGACCAGACGAGAGTCCGACCCGGTCGCTACAGAGACCGAGACCCCAGCGATCCCTCCCCCCGTCGCCCCACATGAGCAGACGGGTAGGGAGCTTTGGGACGAGTTCCCAGATTACAACCCCGAAGAACTTGGAAGCGTTACCGCTTCCGAGCGACTCGCCGGAGTCTCCAACTGGGAGCCGTCCGTTGCGTCGAGAGCCTTCGCCAGCCCCGTCCCTGCGTCCCAGCGTCCGTGGCCCCTCCTTTACCACACGTACGTCGAGTCCCTCGGACTCTCTCGAGCTGCCAGGGAGTCCCCAGAGGTCCAGGCCCGAATGGACCAAGGAAGAGCGCATGACGCACTCATCCGACGTGCAGAAGAAGACGCCCTCTATGGGCCCGACGGCTTCTGGGATCTTCCCCTCGAGCCCGACGCCACCCCCGACGAGGTGGACAACAGAATCCGAGCCGCTGCCGTCCGTTACACAGGATATGCAAGAAGAGCAGGCACCGACCTTGAGGCCAGAGCTCGGGCCTGGAGAGTCTACCAGGAGGAGATCTCCAATGAGGACTCCGACATCGGCCGGTGGAGGCGTAACAAGGAGCTCGACCGACTCGCCCGAGAGAGGCAGGAGGCAAAGGATGCCGAGTCGGCCTCCAAACCAGGCGCTGGAACCGACGGTAATGGCCGCGGTGAAGCAGGTTCTTCTTAACGGACCTGTTCCCCGTCCTGCCATCTTTGAGCTCCTTCCGTGGCACGGACTGTATGAAATCATCATGGAAGACATGGAGAGGGACCCCCAGTGGTTGTTCACTGACGCGGGGGTCGATTATCAAGCCGCAAAACAATGGGGGATGTATACTTAATGAAGAACATCCTCGAAGTAGAGACGTGGCACCGGGCGGCCATCATATGGAATATGGTGAACCCCACAGTGCCTCAACGAGGGTGTGAAGCGTACCGACGCCCACAACCGATGCCTCACCCGACGGACCCGTCGGATTTCTTCCCTGAAGGGTTCTTCGGGGGGGCAGGAGGAGACGATGACGACATGGACGACCCAGGCGCAGGGCCGTCACACACCGATAAAGGAAAGGGGTCCACGGTACCCCCATTTCCACCAAAACAGCCCCCGTACCCGGATCCCGCGGGATATCCTCCCCCTGGGGAAAATCGAAACTTGCGGTCGGTATCGCGACCGCCTAAACCACCGGTGCCGCCGCAGGTACCATCCCCGCCGGACCCGATTCCACCCTGGCAACTTGCGCCAGGGGCCGTCAATAACCCGTGGAACGACGTCAAGCCTAAGCTGGTAACCCAGCCGGAATATTTCACCGGGGTTTCTTCGGATATCACCCGCTTCCTACACCACTGCGAAGTCTACTTCGCGGTGTTTCCAATGTACTACTCCATGAACGACCAGGGGCACAACCCCTACCGGATCACGTTCGCTCAAGGGTACTTACGAGGGGACGCGCAGCAGTGGTGGGTCGACCAATACTACCGATACCGGGACTCGCAAGGTCATTGGAGATTCCCCACT